CGAACAATAAACCCCCTTCTGCACAGTGGTTCAAAACTGGTATTTAGTGTTCATAATTCACTGAAGCCTTCAGTTTTCACTTCATTTGATTAATATATATTTTTTTTTTGTGAAAGCTTCCAATATTTGCAAGAGACCAGTTGAGCCTCATATCTGAATTTTTATTTGATCATATTGAATTTTTCTGTGCAAACTGCAGAAAAAGTAGCAATTTTGAAGAAAATGTATTCTCCTGTTCCAGTTAATAAATTTTTAATAACAAAAACTAGTTGCAAAAAATTTTATGGTTCTTTCAAAACAAAAAAAAATACACAAAAAAAAAATTGAAATGTTATAAAAAGATGTTCACCAAAATAAGTCTTTTTTTTGCTTTTTAGTAAAAATTGGTTGAAAAGGGAAGACTCCGGTGGATTATGAACATTAAATTCCAATTTTGAACCACTGTGTGCTGGCTTCGTCGAAGTCCTTGAAAAGGATTTGGCTTCATTTTTCGCTAGAGCATTGGAAATTGGGCAATTAAATAATATAAAATACTTGATTTAAATTACGATGTGGGTAAGGTACTTTTGTCATACAAGTTGTATGTACGTATTCCCAAATCATTTAAAAAAAAAATATCCTTTATATTAAGTTGGTTAATATGGTCTCCGTTGTATAATGTGCATGCCCAATTAAATATATACAAAAGTACATACAGTGGTCAAAAAATTATAGCCGAACCACTTTTTGCCAAGTTTTAACATATTATTTTTGCAGTTATTTAATTTTGGTTATTTTTTTTATAAAAATATAGTTCCAACTTTTTGCAATACTAAAAAACATTCAACAAACTTTCGTACAAAATTTCAAGCTTTTTTCAAATTCAAAAAAATCAACCCTAACTTTTAGCCATTTGAAACATGTACTTTGTTCTACTAGAATTCAATGAGCTACAAAACTCCATACCCAGAATCTGATTAAAAACTCGAAGTTTTTACGAAGATTTATTGATATTTTTTTAAATTGCATAAATTTTTAAATGACACTCACTCGATTGCTACATTTGTACAGATTTGTGCATTTTTATATTAACCTATTATTATACCCGAGCGCACTTGTGCACAAGGGTATTATAACTTTGTTCACATAACGGTTGTTTGTAACAGGCAAAACGAATCGAGATAGATATAGACAAATGTATACATAAATGATCAGGATGAAAAGAGAAATCGATTAAGCGGTGACTGTCTGTCCGTCCGTCCGTCCGTCTGTCCGTCCGCCTGTGCACACGATAACTCGAGTAAAAATTGATATATCTTAACGAAACTTGGTATGTGTACTTCTTTCGGGCGGAGGACGGATGGTATTGAAAATGGGCAAAATCGGACAATAACCACGCCTACCTCCCATATAACGGTAATTTTCAGAAATACGAAAACTGCGATATTTTAGTAACTACTGAAGATTATTCACTCAAAATTGATATTTACAATAAGTTTTAGACGAAAAATAAGAATATTATAAATTTTTGGAAAATGGACGTAGCCACGCCCACTTATGGTTACATGTGTATATCTTGGTAACCGCTGCACCAATTGCTTCCAAACTTGGCACAGTTGTTAACCTTGGTATAACATACGAAATAGCCGAAAATTTTTAAAATCCTACAATAACCACGCCCACATCCCATAAAACGGTAATTTAGAGAAATACGAAATCTTCGATAAATCAGTAATTATTGAAGCTAATTTATTCAAAATTGATGCTTGCAACAATTCTTTACCAAGAAATACGTTTATGATAAAATTTTGAAAAATGGGCGTGGCACCGCCTACTTGTGATCACATATATGTATCTCGGTAACCGTTCTACCAATTTGTACCAAACTCGGTGTGGTTATTGTGCTTGCCGCATAGAAGCAAAACGTTGAAAATTATTGAAATCGAACTAAAATTACGACCGCTTTTCATATAACAGTGATTTTCAGAAATGCTTGAAACTTCAATATTTCGAAATTTAAGGACGCTAATTTACTCAAAAGTGATACACCCCGGTTTACCATGTAGCGGTAGCTTTCGGAAAGGTGAAAAACATATATTTAATACTTGCGCCGGGTATTTAATGTTCGGCTCAGCCCGAACTTAGACTTTCTTACTTGTTTTTATATTGGTATTGGTAAAATTGTCCCAATATTTTTATTTTGTAGTCAAAAGATTGTTACAATACAGCAAACTTCTATTGAAAAATTTCAACAAATTCTCATAATTGAGGTACGATTTGCACCAAATTTCGGCAAATACCCAATCGTGTGGCACTGCCTTTGAACTTGTATTTATACGGATGTTGTTAAAGAATGAACTATAAAAAACTAACCAAAATTAAATAATAAAAATAATATTTTAAAACTTGCCAAATTTGGTACGGCAATAATTGTTTCGATTACGGTACATAAGTTGACTATGATTACTCGGCCGTGCAATACCACTAATATTTGACTTACAAACAAAATACGGGCAGGAATTTCAAAACTTCAACCCTGTTTGTGTGAAATATTTTGTTTTTATCAGTATTTTCCCTTTAATCAATCTATGTTGAAATAACAGTTAAAATAAGAAAATATTTTGTCAGAACCCCCGAAAAAAAATCCTGGCTACGGCCCCGATGGCAACCGTTTGCATTTTATTGCAGTGAATTTACAAAAGCACCGAATATGCTATTGCAAGAGCATGTGCACAAGATCCTGAACAGCCCCATTAATTGGAAAAATCCAGGACATACATACATACAAGTGAAATTAATTTTTGCCCAAAATAATTTTGAATCCAGAATTTTACTTTCCAGAATTTTAATTCTATATCACTTGGTTCTTATGTAAGGTGACCAGAATTTTTTAAAATTCCAGGACAAATTCTCGACATTGAAAACACAAAAATTTATTTATTTTTTTAAACAATAAATAACGAATAAATTAACAATTCAAAGCTGCTCTAAACACAAGTCAGGCAAGTTAATAGTACACTGCGTCGCATAATTATAGTACCGCCATATATTAACAAGTTTTGACTATTTATTTTTAAATTATTTAATTTTCATTGTATTACTTGCAAAAGTAATTAATTGCTTTTGTTCTTCAAAGTCTTCGTCAAAGTTCGACTATAATTTTGTATCAATGCTATACCTCGTTCAGCAATATCATTATCATATTTAATACTCTTAATCCTCAAGTAGCACACTGGTGTATAAATTGGTGTAAATTTATGGATTTTGGTACAAATCTGATTAGATTGAATAAAAAAAGAACGTTTTGGTGTGTTTGTTATTCCACCAGTATTTCTTTCAAATAAAAATTCTACCTTTAACATTTTGGTACTATTTATTCATTGAGATTAGTACGAAAACTACACCAGCTCCTAAAATGCGCCACTTCTTTCATTTGGTTCACAAATAGCTCCACGTTAACAAATGTAATTAAATTTATTCAGGCGACATTCTGAGTAGTGATGTGCTGAATTCTCGGTACCCAATACTTGAAAAAAATTTCGGTACCCAATACTTCCTTTTCGGTACCCGATACCGATTCGACACACTAAGCTTTCGTCATTATATCTGTGCCATTCAATTCAAGTAGCTTAATTCACTTTAGATGGTTTGACTTTGAATTAAAAAAAAAAATCAGTTTCTTTTGAAATTGTTTTATATTTTAATTAAGATTCTATTATAGGGGCATCTTGAAATACATCTTTGGCTAGTTAAACGTTGAAATATTGTTTGGGAATCCAATGAAATGTGGCTTTAAAGGGAAAAGGACCTATCTCGACATAGGCTACTTTTGGGGGTAAAAATTATTGATATTTTATAAGACATCGCCTAAAAACCCAAAATGTACAAATAAGACGGTCCTTTCTCAAGAGATGAGCAATGTGTTTGTATGTATGTAGTATAATGTGTGCGTCGAACAAGGCAGGCAATTAAATCTGCACAATAATGATCAAGGCGAATTTAATAAGGTGGTGTTAGCCGTATATAAGTAAAAAATTACACTTACAAATTATACGCAGATATTCATACTGTCATTAGTATGAACTACAACAAACACGTAATTTTGATGTAATGTCCTCCACGGCGAAAAATTCAGATACGTCGGTTACACCACCTTATTAAATTCACCCTGATACTGATGTCGCAAAACACACTCTCGCCTTCTTTTACTTATCGCAACCGTCTTTCCAATTGCAATAGTTATGGTGGCAATATTATTTATTTTTAATAGCTGACATTATATGTATGTGTACATATAACTCAGATTTTTGGCTGTTGCGCGCTCTTATTAGAAATTCCAAGATTTCGGTACCGAGCATCGAAAGTATTTGATACTTTTTAAATCGGTACCGAGTATCGATCAATACTTAAAAGTAGCGACTCAGCACATCACAAATTCTGAGAGCAATTGACAGTGGACCAAAGAATTCACCAAAAAATGAATATTGAATACACCACACAGTAGCTTTGTTTCTTTACAGATAGCCGCATTTACACAAGGTAGTGTTAGCCGAATATAAGTAAAAAATTACAAAAACCAATTACAAGAAACACATAATTTTCACGTTATGCGGTGAAAAATTCAGCTGTTGCTCCAACATTAGACAGATTAGGCACAGCTACTTTGATTTGCTTCTTTAACATATTTTTGTATTTTTTGATAAAAATGGGCGATTTATTTAATTTGATAAAGTGTGGCAAAACCTGAGTATTTGTGAACAATTTTTAAACATAAAATGCGATTAAAAATTCGCAGCAAATACATATGTTCAGTTGTCAATAGCATCGGTCAGGTGTTTACTAGCTAGTTTCTGCTAGTTTGCGTTTCTTGACTTTTTCTATATTTCACTCGCTGTGAGCGTAATTCTGTAATTCTTCCCATTCTTCTTCCTGATAATGGTCTGCTAGGAAAGTAAAGAAACAAAGCTAGTGTGTGTGTACATAATACACTGCCTGTTTTAATATGAGCTTATTATACATACCACAAGTAGAGCTGCTATCGGTGTTGCCGTTTTGATAAATTGGTGGTTTCATTCACATCATTCAGGGCTATTCTGGTTTTAGTAGGAGAAGAGATGTTTAATTTATTATATAAATATGTACATATGTATGTATATTTATTTATTTGGGCTTTAAGTATGAGAAAAAGCTTTATTTAACAAACTGCATAATTTTTATTTGCTTGCACAGCGATAAACATCAAAGACTGTGTAAATGTTGGTAAGAAGCGATTTTTATGTATTCTCGCTACGCTAATACGTTAGGTTGTAAACTTAGCCTAATACTGAAACTCTGCTGGACGCCATATTAAAGCTGTATGACTATTATTTAACTAATTTAAGAATTTCATTATGTACATTGGCTCAACTATGCCACTTTCCAACCTTTTTTAAACAGCGCATCTCTTAAAAATTTAATAATGGCGAAAAAATCATTGCTTTCAAAATATAAGTTTTTCCAGATTTATTTAAAAATTTTCAAATCCTTATAAATTTTGAGGCGCTCGAGTTTTAGAGGGGATAGTACCGAAATTCACTCGACAGAATGTACCTCGTTTTTAAATTAGGAACTCACAATCATATATATTCGCGATTTTCTTGCCTGCATATTACGAAAAGGAATGCTGAGATTTATAAAAAGAATTCCAAGTCGCGCAGATTAAAACAGAGCTTCGGTGTAAATTTTATGTCTGAGTTAATTTTAAATTTGATTAGTAGTAAATTTTATTCCCCGAATCAGTTTGCACTCTTCACACTCATGAAAATATATTTATGCTAGAATATGATGTAAATTCTTTACCATTATGGCGTATGATTTGAGCCAATACCTATACGTATTTTACACCAACGGAGTTTATATTATGTTCTAGAAGCAAGAAAACATGTACACCACTGGCATAATATATATGCCGAAAATCAGTAAAAAAAAATTGACGGTAGGTGTAAATAATGCCCGAAAAAGCGGTATAACCTTTACACTGAATCGAAATAAACTGTTCAAAAACTGCCCTTAGAAATGGCATATTTTTTATATTGAAAATGTATATCACGCCGATGAAAAAAATACACAAAATATTTTGGTGTATTTTTGACTTTTGTGCTACTTGAGTCGTCCCTAAGACAACCAACTTCAGGGGCATTTTTTAGAGAATTAATGCCCTACAAGAATATGCACAGGAAAAACTTGTATCACTCTTATATAACTTTCTTAATGGTTCAAGATTTATAACATTTTTAATAAAAACAAATTTTTTTACATGTTATTTACATAGAAAATTTCAAATGGTCACCGACACCTTTTAAAATTTAAATAAAAATGTTTCCAAATGGGAGAGTTTCCTTCTCAGTAAATAGGTCATTTTAAGGCCATAAATTCGCTAGGTTAGTTATTTTGGATCGTCCTAATAAATATATGTATATATATATGCACAAGAATTACTCGTTTAAAGTAATAAGTATAAGTGGAAAAATTTCTCGGAAAGCCCGCCTCCTCCCCAAAAAAATTCTGCATCCGCCGCTGGGCCTGTGTTATTTTTGATTATGCACTTGGCCGTGAAATAACATTTTCTAAAACTCAACAATTTTTATTGAGCTTGAGGCCGTTTTTAATGTGAAACTATTGTGGAAAAGCAACAGTAATTAAAAAAATGGTAGAAGTGATAGCTATTTCGGAAATCACCACATTTCCTCATCAGACTTCTTCAGCGGGAACCGATCCGACGACCCCAGCTGACTCAGCCAGTTGCCTACGCACTGTGCTAAGTTCACCTTAATTCTTGTTGCAGAATATAGTTGTTATAAGGCCATAAATAACAAAAATTGTTTAAGCATATATGCGCTCCAATGCAATGAATATACCGGTTGTAAGCTATCTTACAAATGCTTTTATCAAGATTAAAAATCCCTGCACACAAATATTACCACCAGGGGCGCACTCAGGAATATATATTGGAGTGGAGTTATACTTTTGAAGATATATTACCTGAAAATATTGAAAATTCGCTTCAGATAATATGCTCTTTAAAACACATTTCTGCAAGTTTTATGTACAGTTTGAAATAAATAACTAAACTTTTTAAAGTTTCATAAATTGCACTTTATTCACATAAAATTAACAAAGAACTCAAATATTTTTAACCAACTTCAAAAAGGGGAGGGGGAGGTCATCAATTCTTCGTAATATATTGAGGAGGACAAATCACTTTTGAGGAGGACAATCCTCCTCAAAGGAGGACGGTTTGCCAGCTTATTCGTATGTTATGTTTTAATTTTTTTCCAGAATTTTCAACCGAATACTGCTGTGTACGTTATTGATCTTTTAAACATTTATAGGTACACACTGTGTATATACTTACTACTGGGTATATGATCCTGGTGCTGAATTTGAGCGCCCAGGCCGCGTAAAGTGGCCCAAACGATCAATACCACAGGGTTTTGATTGTGCTAAACCTTCGCTTCCGTACGGATTTCCAAATGAATGTTTTTTAAGCATTGTTTTTATTAAAATGAGAGTGTCTAATTTCGGAATACTCTGCACGACAGAATTCATGTCTTCTGCACTAACTTTCAGCAAGCAACAATTCTCACTCTCATTGGGAAGGGAGTATCTTCCTTCTTTGGTTACCCAAGTATGTTCCTAAATTAATATTAAAACACATTAATGGCTGGTGCTATGATCTCTAGAATCATACAAACCTTTAACTGCTGCAATGTAATCCTGAAGGAAGGATTTTTGTTCAGTATATTAAAAATACAGTCTTTTAGCTGTTCACTAATTCTTGGAGAGTCTTTAAGAGCCAGCGGATCAGCTTTTATCTTTTCATACAGAATTGGAATCGAGTTTGCAATAAATGGTACGTTTCCATAAACAAGTGCATAAAGCGTTATTCCCAAAGACCATATATCGGCAGCTTTCCCGCAATATACATACTAAAACGATAAAAAATATGGATAAATGAGCTACAAATGTGAAAATATATAATACAAAATAAAGTTGTTAAATATCATTCAGTAGAGTCAAATTAGGGTGAAAAATTGTTAAAGTGACGATCAGTTGCGGGGATTGTAATATTTGATTTACAGGAATCAGACGGTTGTGGATTCGTCGTAATTATACTTGGTAGTTAAACCGCAAGAAGATAATGTTCCATTTCATTACAAGTTTTTTGTTCGGAAGTTCATACACTGTGGGAAAAAATATTAAATTCAATCAGAAACGTAATTGATCTTACTATAAACGTCAACGAAAGTACTGTATATTGGCAAATATTCAATTCAATTACGCGCATATTAAAGTGACCGCGTTCGTTCTGAAAAAGCATACTTGGAGTGTATAATCAAGATAAAAACCAAAAAATATATATATATATTTAACTAGCTTATACCCGCAGGTTTCACCCCGCGCTTTTATACAAATATGAAAAATAATTTAATGATGTTAGATTTTATTTCTGTGCCCATTTCGTTATAGCTCGTTATTTTTTAAGCGAGTTAAGGTATTTAGGCCGTCTAACACTATGAAATTATCAAATCTCGTCTGCGCGCTAGGCATACGAAAGATATCAATCCCTCTAAGTTTACCTTAAAATGGTTCCAGGTATAGGACGCGGAACGTGTAACCTTCTTGGAGGTGCCACGTCGGGTTTTAATATTTCAAACTGAAATTTAGTAACCTGGCCTTGATAAAATACCATTTCTCATTACTGTAGCAAATGCCTCAAGAGAACTTTAGATTATAAGGCCGAACCCGGCTTCACTTTTCCATTTAATGAAATTTATTCTGTCACTACGGCACTTATAAAATAAATCTCCATAACAAATTTAAAATACTTCGAGAGATTTTCTATCCTTCCAGAGATGTGTATTAAGAAGTTTTTAGTATGTATGGGAGGCGACATGCCTCCTTTTTTAATAACTCACATTTTTTCCATGAGCAATTGATACATTTTGCATACACAACTCCATACCAAGTTCCAGTATTCTTCCACAAAAACTTCCAGGGATATGTGGCAAGAAAACGTAAATTTTTACTGGAAGTGCCACGCCCATTTTTCTTATAACCCTAATCTTCTTCCATGAATTTAGAATTGATTTTACATACCCCAGTACCAAGTCCCAGTACTCTACCTTGAACACCTTTAGAGATAAGCAGAATAAAACAGTAAATTTGTACGGGAGGAACCATGTCCCCTTTTCGAATAACGCAATTTTTTCTCCATGAGTATGGAATAAATTTTGTATACACATCTCGGTGCCAAGTTCCAGTCCTCTGCAATAAACACCTCCAGAGATATGCAGCGTAGAAAAATCAATTTGCATGGGAGTTACCACCTTTTCCAATAACTCTCATTTCTCTCCATAAGTATGGTATTAGTTTCACATACATACATACATATGTATTTCCATACCAAGCTTGAGTGCTTTACCCCAAACATTTGAAGAGATATGCAATATGAAACTTTCAGTCAGTATAGGAGGTGCTACGCCTATTTTCCAAAAACGTCCATTTTTCTCCGTCAATATGAACATGATTTCACAGTGTTGGCAAACTGTTAATCTGATTAACGATTAAAATGTTGATCGCGTTTGACGATTAAAATTAATTAGTCGTAATCAACTGTACGATTAATGATAACATTTATTTAATCGGTAATCGTTTAATTAATTTAGAACATTAATCGTTAATCCAATTTGTCTAGTTTGTTCGAGTTTGAAACCAAACAACAGTTATAGGAATTATTTTGTGTTTTACGCTTATAAAAAGCACATAATATAAAAAAATTATAATTATTGTTATTAGTAATACATAAACTGGGAACTTTTACAAACCTAGTTTGTAAAACGTTTGTTGGTATATATCTTAATGGAAATGCACGGCAAATTGCTTAGATTGATGAGGAAGCCCGACTTAGCCATACCGGATTAACTTGCTATGTGTGCACAGGGAAATTCCAGCATAACTTAATTAATCACCATACCTACTTGATCAAATTAAGATTTAATGATTAAAAATTAATTTTTTTAATCGCGGTTACGATTAACTGTTTAGTCAGATTAAAATTGATCATGATTAACTGTAATCAGATTGAATTAATCGAATTAACTAACTGATTCAACATCATTCAATCGATTAATGCCATCATGGATTTACATATCACTATACCAAGTTTCAGTTCTCTCCCACAAATACTTCCAGAGATATGTATGTAATATGAAAATTCCAATTTGTATGGGAGGGGCCTTGAGTTTTCGGACATACTTTCGGTCTAAGACCATCCTTCTGAAATCCGTAGTAAGTGTACTAAATTTCGTTCTGATCGGAAAACCGGTTAAGGAAGTAGCATATTTTTCAATCCAGATCATAAACCATCTTTGAACAAAATTTCGTTTTCAAACAGGTGGCAATTCTTAAAAAAGTAGCGTATTTTCCAGTCTAGGTCATAAGCTATCTATGTGCAAACTTTCATGCAAATCAGTTCAGTCATTTACGCGTATTAATTTAATTAAACTTTCCTAATACGTGATAACTCTTAAAATAGTAGCCTATTTTCCAATATAGGTCATAAGCTATCTCTGTGCGAAATGTCATGCAAATATGTTCAGTCGTTTGCGCGTATTAATTTAAGTAAAACTTTTTAACAGTTGGAAACTCTTCCAAAAAATTAGCCTATTTTCCACTGTAGGTCATAAGCTATCTGCTTGCAAAATTTCATGCAAATCCGTTCAGACTTTTCCGCGTATTAATTCATTTAAACTTTTTAGCAGGTGGTAACTTTTAAAAAAAAGTATCCTATTTTTCAACCTAGCTCATAAGCTATCTGTGTGAAAACTTCCATGCAAATCAGTTCACACATTTCCGCGTATTAATTAAATTAAACATTTCTAACAGGTGGCAACTCTTAAAAAAGTGGCCTACTTTCCAATCTATGTCATGAGCTATCTGTGTGAAAAATTTCATGCAAATCCGTTTAGTCGTTTCCGCGTATTAATTTATTTAAACTTTTTTAACAAGTGGCAAGTCTTCCAAAAAAGTCGCCTATTTTCCACTGTAGGTCATAAGCTATCTGCTTGTAAAATTTCATGCAAATCCCTTCAGACTTTTCCACGTATTAATTTAATTAAACTTTTTAGCAGGTGGTAACTCTTAAAAAAATTATCCTATTTTTCAACCTAGGTCATAAGCTATCTCTGTGCAAAATTTCATGCAAATCCGTTTAGTCGTTTCCGCGTATTAATTTATTTAAACTTTTTTAACAGGTGGCGACTCTTCCAAAAAAAAGTCGCCTGTTTTCCACTGTAGATCATAAGCTATCTGCTTGCAAAATTTCATGCAAATCCATTCAGTCGTTTCCGCGTAATAATTTAATTAAACTTTTTTAACAGGTGGCAACTCTTAAGAAAAGTAGCCTGTTTTCTATCTGTGTGCAAATTTTAATGCAAATCCATTCAGTCGTTCCCGCATATTAAATAAATTAAATTTTTTAACAGGTGGCAACTCTCAAAGAATAGCCTATTAACCAATCTGGCCCATAAGCTATCTGCGTGCCAATTTTTTTTGCAAATCCGTTCAGTCGTTTCCGCGTGATGATTTCCTAAACATCCAAACATACAAACTTTCACATTTATAATATTAGTAAGAAGTAAGATTTGCACGTTGCCTGCAGCGGAATTCGAGCCCTGACCCTCCGTGGATATCAACAAATTGTGGTAAGCATCTTTTCGCACTCAGCTACAGCCAGACATATAAATGTGCTTTCAAATGACTTTAAAATGAATTTGGCTTAAACAACTTCAAAGTCAGTATGTTTCGTTTGAATACGCTTTCGTTCTGCACTTCTCAGATGCTTTTTCATAACTAAGAAAAGCCGAAAATAAAAATTTAAAATTGAATGAGATTTGAACATGGACATGCGGTGACCCCTAGTAAAACTCGCAACTTGACGTTTTCCTGGGGGAAATTCTGTAATCAGTTAAGCTTTGGTTTCCTCGAAAAGCGGTGCCGTAATATTACGACCGTATCATACGGAACGCTATTCTCAACGCTAATAGCGGTACCGCTTTTATGTAAAGCTAAATGAACGTAACGTAGATGTGTGCTTTTATGTTGTATAGGCACTCATTGCTTTTCACAAAGTTTATTAGGACTTCGTCCTCTTCGGCCGTCCATGCACTTTCCCCTTTATTATTCAAAATTGATAGAAATATATACTAAATGCTTTTATTTTGGTCAAAATAGTTGTAAACAAATTTTCTAATACACAGCTACACCAAACGTTGCCAAAAAACGTTGATAAAAAGTTCTACACCGTCACTGTCGCCATCAGAAATATTACGGTGCCGTCAAATTTCATTACGGTCTGTATAGCCGTCATCTTAGTTAACATCTGGTAATATTTACATGGCAACGTTTTTGGCACCGTAAAGTTACGACCGTTATTTTACGTTACCGCTTTCGAGGAAACCAAAGCTTTAGCGACAATTTTCGGATTGCTATCGTAATTTTTGATGCATGATATGAATATTGTTGCATCAACAGGTGCGATAGCGATCCAAATTTTGTCACTAACTGGTTGCAGAATATTCTATCAAAAATATCTGTTTAGTAGACGTCGACAGGTTAAAATGTTCAATGAAAACAAATGAATTGGTTAGTTCGACAACCGTACAAGTCCAAAATCAGCGTTCCAAGATATTCAATAACAAGTAAAGAAGTAAAAGTTCGGGCGAAACCGCACTTTATATACCCGGCGCACGTATTAAATATCGTTATTTCACATTTCATTAATCTGCATGATAAGCAAGAGTATTTTTCCCGATGCCAAACAGTTTCGATAATATGCTATGAGATATTGAAATACTTGGATCAAGTTTGCTGGAAATCTAAAAGGGGGCTATCAATATACACTTACATATGCATTTAGGCATAAGTG